TAAAAAAGCAGGTGCTTGACATGTCCCGTAGCGTGCTTAGAATGACAAAAAAGATAGAGCAAGGGATAATGGAGTCGTCAGTTCGGGCGATTACAGATGTAACTGCACTGTCGTATAAAGGGAGTCTGCAATGAGAATATACACACACAAAGCAACATGGGAGTGATTATTGTTCACATCATAGGCGAGAAAAATAAAAAAAGATAGCAAGGACAAAGCTTACTCGCGTGCAACTAGCTTGGGTCGACAGGATACTGAAATCCAGTTTCTATAGTAGCAGCGTTTATCAAATTTCGTGCAAGGCGTTTGGAATGACTCATTCTCGAGTAGGATTATGACACTATCGACAGTCTGTTGAGCATTAGTGCCAGCATCTGGTATTCTTGGGTTATAGCACGTAGTGTAAATGTGACAGAGCATGGTCAAGGCGTTTTTTGAAAATGGATAGGGTGGGTGCATTAATTACATGTTCCAGGAGGGCGTTCCAATGCTGTGCCACTCGAAGGGAGAAATAGTTTCGCCGACATTCCAGGTGGCTGTACTGCGTGACTAACTTAAACTGGTGACCTCTTAGCGAGGTGTTTTGACTGAGTATTAGAAGGGAATGGCATGGGTGTTTGGAGTTTCTCAGAATCTAGTACACCATTATGAGATCGCTTCTTAGACGCCGATAACGTCCACTGTATATTTTGAGGGTCTTCAGCCTGAATGTGTCGGGGAGGCTGGTCAAGCCTCTGACGCTCTTCGGTGCTCTGCGTTGTGCAGTATCGAGCTCGGTGAGATTGTGTTTGAGCCAGGGTTGCCACGCTTGAATAGAGTATTCCGCTTGCGACCTCACATACGCACTAAGCATTTTTGGAAAGACTGAATGGTCAAACTTCCCGAAAGCTCTGCGAAGAAGGCCGAAGTACTGGTTTACTTTCTTCGCTGCCTTTTCAGTCTGCCTCAAACAAACGAGGTCATCTTGAACTATCACGCCGAGATCGCACTCGTGAGAAGCCCGCTGTATAATTTGTGGTCCTAGGCGGTACTTGTGCATACTTTTGTTCCGTATGATGAGAACCTTGCGTTTGGTGACGTTGAAGTGCAGCATGTTCTCCATGGACCATGTGTACGCTTTATCTAGGTCCTCCTGTAACACTGCGTGATCCTCCACTGCAGCTATAATGTGCCATACATTTAGGTCATCAGTAAATAGCAAACAGTTAAAAGGTAGCACGCTCGCGAGGTCATTTATGAAAGCCAGGAACAGGCGGGTCCAAGTACCGAGCCTTGAGATACACCGCACTGAACTTCGATGGATTCCGACAGGTTGCTTCCAACCCTCACATGCAGGTGACGTTGCACGAGAAAGTCTCCTATCCAGCCCAGAACAGAATCGCCGATTCCATATTTCTGGAGTTTGTGGGGCAGAATGTGATGGTCTATACGATCGAATGCCTTTGAGAAATCCAAGTGGGAAAATGCTCGGAGTGCAGGACTACTGTCTCAGATTAGTTCATCCTACTGAAAGCAAGGCTGCTAACTGTAAATTTTCATCAACGTTTTTTGGTAACCCACCAGACTACCCAACCGGGCTAGTAAAGCAGTGCTTCTTAACCCGCGTAAAGTCATTGTTCATGGTTCAGTGAATACAACCGAGGATCTCACTCTTTGTTTGCTAGACTCTAACACATTCTAATGAAATGTTTGGCGACTTGAAGTTGCGAAAGCTTCATCGCAAGGACATGGTGTTCGTCATGAATACCAGGCTTGAATTTCTCGGTCGAAATGGGGTAAAATATAAGTGCTGACAGTGAGAGGAAAAAGGAGCATTTCGACTGCTTGTATAGTCTAGTGAAAAGCCATACTTGTCACGTACCAGCTTTTGAAGCTTTTGCTGACTGGTTAGGACAGCTCGGACAAACCTGAACCAATACATTAATGTCACGTCCAATCATGATAGTCTGCGGCATATTGTTACTGAGTATGTAGTCATATGGGAATATGTTCCATTTGTGTACCTTAAGCTGCACTGGATATAGCATTTCTCACTGATCGCATTAGAACAGTATTTGTCTAGCATTCAGATCCATTCTACAACGCAGTTTTGTTCACATGAGAGCTGAAGTGGAATATTAAAAGGTCAGGGAAGGTTTTTCAACCTTTTGAAAATCGCTTCCAACCGAAATCCGCATGAAATTACCCCTTTTATTACCTTGGAAATCATTCATGCGCGATGCATTTGAGAAATTACCATTCTGAGTGTCCAAGGACTTTCATACATAAACATTAATTTAAGCAAACCACATGGGCAATTAACGTTAGATATGTCTTTTCTGCGCTTACCTTAAGCAATCTCAAATTGCTGCGCTTATACCATGTCACCTCGTTGTCATTCGCCGCTTAGATACTTGCGTACATTTTGATGAGCACATTTTACTTTGATTGAAGTAAATAGGTCGCTCACTTGTAGAGGGTATTCGGGAAGCTTTACTTCTCCGGTTTCACCCAAGCGCTAAACCCCTACATGAATCCCGATGTGGCACCGCCGTCAGGTCTAGCAAACTGAGAGAAGCATGACCCAGTTGCTCTCAAGATCAAAAAATGACGGGTAACAAGAATGTCACAGTCTTTGCCCACCCCACTTAATGACTTAGAAGAAGGCAGTACGAGTATACAGTGGATATTATCGGCAATTACGGTGTTACTACATACTTACTTTCCGAGTCCCATAAAATCCCAACTACGTCATTTATCATCACAAGTAAGTTATCCAAATTGTACCCTGAAGCACCATCAGTTGAATTAAGCGGCGCGGTAAAACTGACTGGAGTTTCAATGAAAAGTTTCCTCGAAATTTGTCAGTTCTGGAGGGCTCATTTGACTAGTGTCATTTTTGCAGCCATGTTTTTCCTAACTGAAAACTAGCTGAGTGAAGTAAGCCGATTTATTTAGGTGATATGACCCTCATTCGTCTACCAACTCAAGCATTCCGCTTATTGAAGTTCCCATGCATCTAGTTTGGCGAATTAGCATTTGTAAACGTTATGATTAGTCTACATGAACGCAACCAATTTCTCGGTGGCGTTCGCTGTCTACCTTTTCGCTTCTCAGCTAAACCATATAATTTATAAAACGCACTTATTTTTCCCCTCTTAAACCATTGTTTATTGCTCTGTTGAAAAGTTCATGCGTCGCAACGCTACAGACAACCAATGTTTGTTAACAACCACCTGTCCACACCATTAAATTAAGCTAGAAATGTGCATTATTCACAATAGCCAATCTGGTGTTCGATTGTTGAATCAGACGGAACGTTTCGTGCTAACGCAAAACATCGTTGATTAATTTCAACTGACAATATTTACCAGTTGTGGCGAATCCTATCGGTTTTGGTGCCTTCTTCTACGTCGCATGACTTATGGCTTATTGATATTTCTCGATAATCCTGCATGCGTCGCAGTTGATGTAACTATTGCCCGGTCAAGAACACATTTGGGACAAGATGCTCACGTTTGTTACCGACAAAAGCGTCCATTGATCATTCTGAGAGTTTGCATTGTTCCAGCAGACAGATATTAATAAAACTGGCGACAACCGAGCTAGTTAGGGCCAAATGAGTTAGTAAGAGACAGGCGTCGCACTACACTTTAACTGTCATGGCTATTCATTTACAACACAATGAATATGCCTTTTAAGGATGGTTCTGATAGCCAACCGAATGGAGATAAACATTTTATTTGTACTATAAAAGCCAACTAGTATCTTTCCGATATTGGACACTATGGACTTTATTGTCGCCCTGATGTGGCGTCTCCATGAAGTGTGAATTAAGTACCTTGTTGTATTTGTTAGCTAGGGCGTTATTTTGTCTAAATGCGCCCCACTTGTCGAACATTGACTTTGCACTCCTGTATTAGTCACTCAAGTATCTATGGGACGGATATAATACTTGCGTACACCATTGTAAAGTCAGACACAACGTGACTGTCACCGCGTGGAAAGTACGCATACTGCCAACTAATCGGACAGTGGTCCCATCCACCATATTCGCAGGGAAACTATAAGTTGACTGTAAGCAGTTCGCATACATTCAGCTGCACGCATTTCGTGGAAAGTCTGTAAACGTGCAGGAGACATTTATCTGAAATAACTCCATAAGTGCAGGCGGTCTGTAGGTTCGAGTTGTTAGCCAACCACAAATTATTCATTCGCTTTTTACCTCTGTGCTGATGTACACCATTGAAACTCGGTCTGGTTTTAGAACAACCGCATAATTGTGCGATTTCGACGCTTGTCTGTTCTTAAAGCACGTTGTGATGCTGTAGCCTTCGACATCTGAATAACTGAGCATACCGGTGAAAGATAAAAGTACAACTTCCGGCGTTGTTTCCACTACATAACTTCCAAATGTAAGATTAGTCTGGATCTGTGTCTCCGTTTGATTCCATTTACCGAGCTATTGTCTAAACGTTATCCACCATCAGCAGTACAAGCACTTCAAAGCGGCACCGAAAGCAAATGTATTACAGTTGCGGCAACACCGCTGGAATCATGTGCTTTTGATGCGTGACTTCGCTGTGCACTTTGTGGGTAACAGTTGAGGTAGATCAGTGTTTGGCCACCGTCACTCTCGCCTACCTGATGCGTTGACTCCATTAAGTTCAAGAAGCGGATGTTGAAAAATTATTTCTACGGTATTCCATCTGGCTGCCCTATTGGAGAAATTTGGACACATGCGATAAGTACCGCTTAACCAAGGACGAAATGCCAATCACACTTAAGGTATTTCGAACTTGATCCCGCTGTGTCTAGACTCCCAGGCTTTTTGGACCCATGGGTTGGGATTGAAAGAGAAGACAATCGCAATGTGCGGAAACTGAGAACTTTTACCAAGCCACTACCACTTCAAAGAGCGAAGATAGTGTTGTTTATTAATTCCTATACCCCGTTCATGAGTTAATGCTTTTAATGTAACTTTTTAAAGGTGCGTAAAAGACTTGGACCGGGTTGCTTACGTTGTGTGGTAAGCTCTCTTGTAATAAAAGTAACCAAACCGGCGTGGTGGATGCTGTGGTCATCGTTGGTGTTGTCGTCGTCATCATTAGCGTCTGGTTCAGTTGTTGTTTAAACGCGACTGTGGCATTGTTCAACTGATCCATTCGATGCAGTTCGATGATCCATATCGGGGGACATGCACAAATAAGGTAGGCAAAGTTGCATAGCGAAAACCTGAAACGACAGAGAAGTGACAAAGAAATCAGTGCTTACTAACCATCAATCCATCTGTGTTAAACAGATCACTATTCCCATTCCTGGAAAACAGCTAGCAGAAGCAGCTAGTCTTGCAAGCTTCGGCATTCTGGTAACTATGGGTAAGGCTTGAACTCGCAATTAGCACGCACTCCTCTTCTATCGGAAGTAGATTATACTCATCAGAATTCTATCAGCATGGGGATTATGCAAATTGGATTTTCTAATGGAAAATGACTTTGTCGGAATAATCGATGGTCAAATCTACCTAGTTCAACCCTTGGTTATGAGTCTGGACAGAACGTAGTCGAATCAAAGTCGATGTCGGAATTCAAGAAACTTCTGAACAAACATTTGCCGACATGAAATACTGCAAATGCTCTCAAACGTTAATCATTATGTCTGAGAGATCTTAGATGCACATACACAGCGACATCTCTTCTTGCTGCTTTCCTCGAGTATGCAGTATACAACTCCGCGTTCTGTTAGCATACACATTTAAATATAAGCATGAAAAGTAATTTATTAATACTTATAACCAGATAGATTTGGACATCATGTAATTTGAATAGTCGCAGTTCCTTGTTTAACTCGGTATACAAGAACTAGAACTTCAGAACCGAGTAAATATACAACGTCTAGTTCCTTATTATGTGCTCTTCTGACTAATGGTAGCTAGTACAAGTCTGGTTTGGACTTAATGTTAGACTGCGTTCCGCCTAAATGCCTAAATTCTGCAGTTTATTAGGTTCAGTTTTATTGCACAGCACATACATAGGAGCAACGAGTTACACATAGACAATGGCGCCAAAGTAATCATTATGTTCGGCTGGGCTGCAGAATGAGCATTAATACGACGCATCAGTGTTAAGTCACAGGCCCCTTGGAATCATATTGGACCACGTGGCAGACTTAAAGTTGCCGACGGTTTCAGTCATGCTTTTAAAGTATGTACTGATAAAATAGCTTAGTGTGGTTTCTTTTCCCTTACCTCACTAAAGCTATGAAACAACGAAAAGTGCGGAAGATTCAATCGTTTATCAGCTCCGGTTTCAACAATGTAAGCTCCAGATTCAACGACAGGAGGATCAACTACACCATCCGATTTGATACAGTCTAGTAATCAGCAAAGTTTAAAGTGCTCTCATTGGTTTTTTGTGTTGGTCTTGTGTACCAAAAAGGTTACCTTCGATGACCGTTATTCGCCGTCGGCTGCATATGGAAGATGGAAAAACCAGCTGTTGTCTGGTTTTATTTGTGTTAGTTGATAATTTTGCTGGCCGTTGACCGAAGACATTGCGCTGTAATCCTGTGTCACCTAATCAAATCCGCGAAGGTGCGTATGATATCGTGTTTTACCCAGTCCTACTGCGATAGATATTTGTTATGGGACAGACAGGCATCAGTAAGGTGTGCCGGTATACTGCTGTTGCCTATTATCGGTGGTGATATTGCGACCTTTGTAGAAGTCTGAACGCCGTCGTACGAAGATTTATATCATGTCACCAACGAGTACATAGCTTAACTCGCAATAGCTACTAAAATATTAGCGTCCGCCCCATTACCAAATAAACTAAAATTTGGTTATAATTACTTTTGAGTGGTTCTACCTTAAAACACCGCTTGCCACTACCGCACATGCTTCTGTATCAAGCCATAACTGTGCTGTGTCTGACATTTGCTATTTTCGGTGTAAAGTAACCGCGATTGAAACAGCTTGATGTCAGCCACTTACAACTACATTTGCCAAGAGCGCATTTTCTGACAACTAAATTGGAAAATGTCCACTTGTTGGAGAGTGAAGAGATTGCATTAACCCTTTTCAACCAGTATTTTGTTTTACGCTAGTTTCATTAGCTTGTGACATAAAACATGTAGGATAAGTAGGAATTGCGCGAATTGGGATGAGAGACCCGTGCCTCTGTAGTAATAAACTAGGTTACCATGTAACCCGATAAACAACTCACAGTGCTTCGTACAATCAGTTATTTTTGTTTACACCTAAGATATATATATATAACTTCTTCATTCTGCCCTAGCAACACAGTACACAAGAGATCAATTTTCCAAAAACAACTCTGCCATAAGCGACCAATGGCATATTGATAAGATCTCAAAAATCATCCTGGAAACAGATGACTGCAAATGGATAGGTGAATTCGAGCGATTTTACCTATAATATTCAGAATGGCAAATTATTTACCCTTACCCACACCAAAGTCTCCCGTAAATGACTAACAAGTTAAACGTACCATTTGGAAATGGTATTTCCGTTTTCTCTCCTCTCCATTTGTGTTTTAATAGCCCAGCTGAGATCGATCAGAAGTGGAATAATTGTAATGCAGAGGAACCAAAACCGTCCATCTTTTTTCTCTGTCACCACGGTCACAATGGCTGTACAGGTGAAGCAGACAAAGCCCATTCGAACAATAATTGCTCTGAAGGCCACTAGCAGGCTGACCAAAGTTAGCCAGCTTCGAAGGCACATTTTACCCCACCACTGTCCCACACGTGACTGATGCAGTGTATTTGGCACCGACTCCGAACTTTCCTTCCGCGCCCTGTTCCACTCAGGTTGATGATTATCCGAGAGTTCCATCTGTGGTTTGGTTACCAAGCTCTGAAACCGGGGCTCCACAGGAATCACTCTGTGATACGCGTTCCCATATGGTTGTGATGGTGGAGCAGATGTACGCTGTGGACGACGCCCGTTAATTAGCATTACACGGTATCTCATTTCAGCCGGTTCATGCAAGGGAGCTGGTGCCGCACTTTCGTTGGGCGCAGTAGCTTCTTCTCCAGACCTGTTCTCCTCAATCTGAGCGTTCATCGGTGCTGGCAGTCCATCTTCGTTGGCCGCGTGTTCCGCATCGTCGATCCACTGTGTGGTAGGGTAAGCAGGAAGTTCGATTTGGCCTGTCGAAAGTTGGAAGAAGATAATGATGTGTTGCAAGTGTTCTTAAAATAAAACCACCCCGAAATTTATCCGGTTAGAATTCACTGGTCAGCACTACACTGTATAGCACACAACTCCAGTTTAATCTACCCCTCATCGATTTTATCCCATGTAATCCAATAATATGTGGCAGTTAAGTGTTACGCAGCGTCCCACGGTTTACTTGTACTGAACTTCTTTTATTCTGAAATGTAAATGCAACGTCATAGAGCAAAGATTTATATGTGCAAACATCGTATTCTGCACCTTGTTGCGGTCCGCCAAGTATACAGTTAATTAGACAAACGCTGTGCACTCATATGTTACTTTGGACATATCCGATTCCCTGGGTAACATATTCCTCTTCACGCAGAATGCAGTCGCAGTGGATGTCCATCTGTCGTGTTGCTCCAAACATTGACTGTTCTTCTATCAAGCTGGTTCTAGTGTTACCATAAAAATCTCGGTTATCACTTAATGAAGAATACCGTTTCAGTGTTAGTCATTGGCGCTTGTAGTTGACTAAGCAAATAGTTAAATGGTCCATTGTGTTCTCCGATTCAACAGGAGCTAATGTAACTTAAGCACTGGTTACGATTGCCACCGTTTATGATAATTGAGTACATCGAGGATGCAAATTCGGTAGCGCCACTGTACAAAGTGCGCTAAAGTTTCATGAAGGTTTCTGGCTACGATGCGCGGTCAAGTCAAATCAAAGTAAGCTTTATGTACCCAGATGGACGCGTTTCCAACAATTTACAGCATTAACTGCTCGTTGGGTAAAATGACATCTTGACAAATGCGAAATTTTGTCAATCGAACAGAAAAGGCAAAAGGGCGCATTGGTGTCACACGAGTAGAAGGGCCCGCGTCCTTGAGCACTAAATGCATATTGATAAACAGAATACGCGTGTTTATTTTCCAGCCAACAGAGTAGGGCTTGTTGATAACATTTCCTTCTTAATTGGTTTCAAATGGCCTAGAGGTTCGTGACCCAAGCCAACAGACCTTAGTACTCAAAATATCGGTCTTGTTGACCTTGGAAGTACTTTGGAGAAAAAAGCTGTCAAATTATTCCTATAAAACTTTTATATTCGCAGTGCATAATATAAAAATGATGTTCAATGAAAAGCAGCTGCCGATTTAAAAGCCCTGCCTTGTCTATCTGTCATAACGTTAGGGTTGGTACAAAATCATAGGTTGTCAACCCAGAGTGCGGTGTCCACATCGACAACCGTCATACCATTCGGCGTTGAGTAAATATTGTTTCAAAATTTCAAAATTCTGATCTTGTCTGAAAATATTTTTTCGAGGACGGTGAAAGTAAACTGTTCCCGTTTATTTTTCACTTTTTGACAAGATCTGTCACACAGGTTTTAGAGTTTGGTGGGTAACTCGTTATTAAATCTGCCTGCGTAAAATTATGTATCAAACACATAACAAACCACTAAAAATAGATATATTCAATAGTGTAATAAAAACTTTACTGCACAAACATGTAAACAGCTTCCGGATAGTGATGCCTAGTATGCCATCACTCATCTCAGTAAATACCATCACTCTAAATGCTCTACGTCTTCAGTATGCTTCAATATTCCGACACACTACAAGCAAGTATAACCTGCTTGTCCCAGGCCCTCCCACACGTCCATATTTACACATGCCACGTTCGAATCAGCGACCGTCTTGAGGAAGCTGCTTTCGTTGCGCAAACATAATTCCGGGGGAGTAACAAGGGTCCACTGAAAACTCTTCATGCAGCAGCCACGAGAATAGCGCAGCCACTAACCAGATTCTTTCTAAGATGCCTAGATGAACAATATGTCCCTAACATGTGGAGGCATATTCTCATTCCCCCCACTTTCTAGCGTGGTAGCCGTTTAGAACTTGAAAACTATGGCTTAGTGATTCTCTTCCCGGTGCTGTCAAAGGTGATGGAGTCAATCAAGACGGAAGTAGTAATGGGCTACCTAACATCAGTGCGCCAGAGCAACATGGATTCCGTCAGCATCGTTTATGTACTACCAATATACGGATTGCGCGTGACAGCTCAACCGAAATAGCCGATAGCGGCAGGAGCACTCATGTCATGCACCCTGAGTTTTCTAGAGCATTCAACAAGTTAGTCTATCCCATCCTTCTATAAATTCTGCAAAAGTACGGAATTGAAGACCTGTCCTTTATTGGATCAAAAATTTCCTTCTTCAACAGCGGCTTCACGTTTGCGTTCGGCGCATTTTCTGATCATATTGATGTGGACTGCGGTGTTCTACAATGATTAGTTTTGGGGTCATGCATTTTTGCTTTTTATCAATGACTTCCCACGTGTCATCGAGTCAAATTTCCTGCTTTATGCCGGTGACATCGTTATGGCGGGCGATCGGTTGTCAGGTAGATCACCATCTGCTGCAAGGGGGTATAGACCGTGCTTAAAATAGTCAGACAAATCTACTTCCATCCATAAAGGCAAGTGCAAAGCAGTAGGTAGATACCACAGAACCACGAACCTAAATAAGCTTGGAGGCTACATTTTAAAGACCGCCTCACATAAGCACGTCATTCGGGTGATGATGCAAGACTGCCTTGGCTGTTCGGAACAATCGTTGAAGGTATCAAAAATCGCGAACCAACATGTTTATCTCTTATGAAAGGCATTCAGGCGATTCGAACTCTCCGTCTTTTCGCAAATGTTCATCACATACGTTAGGCCCCACGTAGCGTACGCTATGCATGCCAGACAAACCTGGTTAAAATTCGATCTGGTTGCACTGAAGATCACGCTCCGAAGGGCAACCAAATTGTGGACGAACTGTTCTACCGGGCATATCATGTGCGGCCGAAAGCCCTAGGACTGTACAGTGGTAGTTATAGCCGTCCACGTGGTGACCTCATTCTTGCGTAGCAGCTTTTGAAAACCGCGGTCAGGCTTGCTGCAAACTCCTGAAACTTTTCGTAATTCAAAACTGAGGGGTCACAAGCTGAAATCGGCTACCCACTACAGTCTGCTGGAAAGTTGACGGAATTATTTTCGCTTGCGACTTTGTCAAGCGTGGAACGCTTTTTCGCCTTTGCTCATTTCTGCGTCCACATTGTTGTACAAATGACTCGAAGATGCAATGTACCATCTGCATTATTTGAACTGAATTCTGTTCATCGACTGACAACAAGACACAGCCAAACATTGCGTTCAACGACCCCCATGAAATCGGGGTAGATATATATATAGGAGTGTGTTAACGTGGATATTATCTTGAGTCCAAAGATGTGCGTATAACTTTTGCTAACTTACGTAATTCAAACTAATCATTCAATGGCACCAATCATGCCTTGGCATTTTTACCCGTACCATACCATGGTTCCATGTCATTGTACATCAATATACATTACTGGAGCTATACGTTCTTTCTGCGTCGAGTGATTTACCCAAGTCTACCAAACTTCCTTTCATGAAGCGTAACGCGAGGAAGTTTATGCATCCCTTTTCTACGAGTATGATTCGGTGTGCTACGGTAACTCATCGATTTGGGTCGAGACTCAAGAAAAAATATAAAGCCACCTCGATGTATCTTATCATTAAGTTGAATGAAGTTACATTTCCCCCAAATTCAGTAACGTGGTTCCAGTGTTACATTGAAACAGTGATGTGAATCGCCACTTTTCGCGTAGATGACTGAAGGTCGTTCATTCACCCATGCAATGTCGCCATATTTATTTACGCTTTAAGGTAAGCTTTTGAAGAGTGGCATCTTTTTCTAATTGGACAAAAAGAATTAGCTTCGGTTGGAAAGATTTTCTACAAGCTCTCAAAATCTTGATTTTTTAGATTGTGATAGCCTATGGCTCAGTACGTTCACAACCAGTTGAAATACACCTAGCACTTACGGTTCAGGCATTGAAAGAGTTTTCAGTGCGTTTCGAAATTAAGTTAAGATGGATGAACGCGGTTTTACTTCATTTTTCACACCAGGACTCCTGGGAACAATCATCGACATTTGTAATGAATTGGACTTTTATAGCTCTTCAGCACTTTCCTTTCTGCTGGTTTAAGTGAACCCTTCGTGTTTGATGGTGGATTTCATCAAAATATTTTAAAATAAACCTGATGGGCTATTTCTGCCGGAACAAATGATGAGGCGCTGTGGTGTCCTTCATAGTTTGCTGATTAGGGGACCATAAAGATGATAAGACGCTGATGGTTACGTGAAGTGTCATCGGGGTACTCAGTACTTTTGTCATACTTCACATGCGGTTTCTTCATTTTGCAACCAATGCCGACAACATATACTGCAATAGAGGATTCTACCTACGTTACCTCAGGATGACTTTTACTCATACCTATAAACGACGTGAATCACGTTATCAGTCATCTATCCGTAGTCTGTTCAGCCAAACTACTAGCTAAACTGAGGAGGCAAACGTGGTGTTTCAAACTGCACTGCCTTTAGTTGAATATACCAAAGTATATAGATGTGGTACTTTCGTTACAAAAGAGAAACTGTTGGTGAGAGTATACATCCATCCATGTCAGCCATATACCCGGAAATCATACTGTTTTCATTTGTCTCGAGCACTTCATGTAAATGAGAAATCCATAGAAGTGAAGCGATTGCAATCTGCGTTCCTCGTTTGGTCTCTGTCTTTGTTTACAGACGCACGATCCTTATGCTTATTGTTTCCTGTGTTCAATACCATTAGACCTACTGTCCTCAGTGACCGTTTGAGTTTATTTCGCAAAATTATTAAAGTGTGCAGCTTGATGTAATATTTGTCGCGTTGTGGAAGCATCCTTATCATCATTACACATAAGCTGAAGGTCAGCAACATACTTCAACTATTGTGCCATAATATATGAAGAGAAGACAAACGAAACATAGCGTTCTGCTGAAAATTATAGGATGCTAAAAAACAGGCGACAGACTACTTAGTAACAAAGTATACATCAAGTGGGAGCCCGATGTTGGAGCGGTAAGATAAGCTGGATACGGATGGACAAGAAAACTCTCAACACAAACGCCATTGAGGTCAGTCCCTTGCCATGTAAACTAGTATATCCAAAGGAACGTTTT